TTTTTTTTTTTTTTTTTTTTTTTTTTTTTTTTTTTTTACTTTAGTTTTTCAGTCTGTTGTCTTTTATTCTATGATGAATTGTGGCATATCATTGTAAATTTTAATTTACTCAAAGTTTTGGACCAGCAACGTAATTGAGAATATTAAGATAAAATTTAAGATCAATAAGGAAAATTAATATCTATAAAAAGCTTGCGTCAACATCATATAGCAGCTTCGTCGTAGAAATAATGGTTATATGGGATGTAAATAGGGTCTCTTCATTGGTTGCAACTGACTTCCACAGAAGAAAAAATCTCAGACATCACGGAAAACTAAACAACAAAGAAACTTAGTGCAATCGAATGACGACTAACTTTCTAATTCATTCTAAAAGTAGCTAGTTTCCTCCTGCATGTCGAAACGTCAGTCACTAAAAAATGTCAATTCCAGGACTTATTGGCTCAGCTAAACGAACACACTGGATCGAGTGGCGAAACATTTGTTGTTAAACTTACAAAGAGAATGTTACAGGTACATTCTGAAAGATATTGACAGGTAATTCTTCAATCTGATTGTCCCACAAGGATCTAAAAAAAATGATAAAATAGCGAACTAAATGAATAATCCGTCTATCAATGCTAAGCCCGAGGTGGGAGCCCAAGGCATATGTGGGGCATTTGACTTAACAGATGAATTTTTGGCCAAAATTCCTACGGTAGGGCCCGAAAAGGGGTAAATGAAGATCAGGGGTCTGTTCCTTTCAAGAAAGGTATAATATAATTTCTTGCTGTTAATGGATGAAATATTAGAATTCCAACGCTTGATTGTCTGACAAAAACAAGACTTAACATTAAAACTCTACGCAATCCACAGTGAGGTGTTTATGAAAGAGGTAATTGTTTTACTCGTTGAAAACGAGTGCTTATCTCCAAAACACCCGTGTTCTATTTCAAGATGGCCGCACAGATGAGCACATGTGATTATCTGATTTTGTTCATTTCCTCTTCACAAAAAAATTAAATGCCCCTAGACTGGAGCCCAGAATCTTAATCAATTTTCCGAGGGTAGGGAGAGGAATCAAATGCCCCACTTATGCCCAGGATCCCCTCTCCTCGAGCTTAACACTGATAGACGTATAATAAGTTCATTTTTAGATTCATTTTATCAAGAAAGAGTCCCATTATATTATATGTTTCTATGGAACACTTAAATACTTTATCAAAGTGGCTATGAGCCACTCAACTTAAAAAAATGGATCGTCTGTAAACAGTGGATCCATAGGTCATATGTCATTTATGTATCCAGCTAGAGAGGCGAAAACTAAAGCCAAAGCTCATCGGTATTGTTAAGAAATAGTGAAATACTCAGCTGTAAGAGAATACATAAGGACATCTGACACTTCGAAGTCTTGAGGTTATCCTTGTTTGAGACGGTTATCACAAGGAGAATGCGGCTTTCCAGCGACCGCTTCTTTTCAGAACACCATTGCTAAGCTTAGTACTGAAAGCTTGACCAAGTAATTAATTAAATCCCTGTATTTCGGGTTCTTATTTTTTTTCCTATTTTTATTATTTTT